TGGAATAGGTGGCTCTTGCCTGTTGGGAGGGCAGAGACTGAGCAGTCGATGCATTCCTTCTGGAAGGAGACAAAGAATCCAACTGAGTCCTTGCTCCTTAGAAGGCCCAGAGCCTTCAGGCTGGCATTCTTTGCTCTATAAGCATAAGGCGGAAGGGATCAGTGTCACTTCTGAGCTATCATTTTGGTGTTTAACAGACTCAAGGCTTGGTAGGGTAGATATTAACATATTCTGCCCTTGGAGGATATTGGTCTGCATTTTTTGCAAAGCCTTCATTACTTCCTCCAGTTTATTACCAGCGTGTCTGTAGGTCCTAATAAATCTTCTATCTGCAATTAGAATATCCAAATAAAAATTCATATTGGCTGCTAATAAGAACCTTCACCTTGGCTTTGCTAAGGCGTTAATGATTTTCACCCCCAGTACACTTTGAAGCCCGATTTTAAAAGCTAAAAGTCTATTTATAATGCTTGTAGTAAACAGCCCAATTCATAGTTATTGGTTATTTATTTCACTTAACAAACACTTATTTACTATGTGATAGGCACTGTATGTAAGCCCTTAAAGCCATTAACTCACTTAATCTGATAACTCACTGTTGTGATCCATAATTCTCCTCTCCCGGGATATTTCTTCTAGTGGAAAAGTAATTACAAGTTAAATGGTAAAAAATAGAAGGCAATTATGACTTTTAAGAAGCGATAGGAAGAGAGTCAAAGGCAGATTATACTGCAGTATATTTGAAATAGCCTTCTTGGCTTGGAAAGTTCCTGAAGCCTGGCAGAGTTTTCTAGGCTCTTCTCCCATTCTCCCAGTCAACCGTGTTATTCTAATTATCTGCAGTTACGTGCCAACTTGATTCTCATGGCAGTACCTGAGAGGGTGAAATCACTGTAGATCCAAAAAGTTGTTAGTTTTAGATATGCCACGTCTTCCTATAAGATGACATTTAAAAAAAAAAAAAATCAGCCTTGTTATCTTAATAGCCTACAGTGACTATTTCTCAAACCCACTCTTAAGCTGCGTGATTTCTGCTAGGATTTTCAATAGTTACTACTCATCAGCCTTGAAAGCCCAGAGACCCAGGTCTCCTCCTCCTTAAAGGAATGGAGAGCAGACCCTTTGAGAGCCAGGAGGCACTGTTTTTGTGTGGGCTTTAATTATTGCATTGACCTGCTTGGCTTAAAGACAAGTCCACGGGCATTAAGCTCATTCATCCCCAAAAGGAATGCATTGTTTTTTTATTTTTTTTTATTTTTGTAAGTTGTATTTATTTTATTCGTGATAGATGGTGTGTGTACATGTACAAGAGAGAGAACTGCCCTTGACAGGGTGATCTTCCCAAAGCCCTCCAGCCTGCCAGGGTCCTGGATACATGTGCATGCACTGGCATGTTTTCAAGATAACCCAGTGATCCAAATCCTCAGCTAGCCATGTGGCTTCCAGCATTGCAGTTCAGCTTTGTCGCCAGGCTGAGCTGTCTTTTTGAAGGGGTTTAGCTCCTAGGCAATAGAGTTGCCGTAGATCTCCCTTCAGCAGCAAAGGATTTTACCAAGACATTTTCTTTTCTTTTCTTTTCTTCCTATTTTTTTCTTTTCTTTTTTCTTTTTGTTCTTTTTTTTTTTTTTTTTTTTTTTTTTTTTTTTTTTTTTTTTTTTTTTTTTTTTTTTTTTTTTTTTTTTTTTTTTTGAGAGAGAGATTTTTGCTATAAGTCATGTAAGCTCACCAGAGAGACAGAAAGTGAGAAATCACCCCCTGGGTGGATGGCCATGCTGCAACCCCTTCTCCTCCATCCTCCTGTTAGAATTTTGGGTATACAATTGCATGTGCCGGTGCATTTCAAGTTGCCATGGGGTCCAGGACTCCAACCGTGGTCAAGTATGTGGAAGTCCAGCAACCCAACCACTATGCCACTGCTGGTCCCATGACGAGGACATTTTCAAGTTTCCTCCTTAAGCTGATGGGGCAGTGTCTTTCTAGTGAGGTCAGCTGAGCTGATTGGACATTTGTGGTCAAGCTCTCTGCTCAGCACAGGTGGTAGAGTGATAAAGAGCTAAGCGTCTGCCCTGGGGGAGCCCTGCACCCCTTCAGCCCAGCCTTGTGAGTGCTCTGCTGGGATGCATAGCCTAAGCTTCCCATCCTCCTACGAGGCAGAGAATAAGGCTGAGCAGCTCAGTACCCTGCTAGTACATCTCAGAAGAGATGCTGCATTGTCGAGTCTTCAAAAGCCCCTTGCACACCTTTGGGGCTGGGCTTGCTGGGAAGTAGAACCCCTAGTTTTCCTGCTGGATTCCCACAGTTCTAGGAAGGGCTTTGTCCCCGGGCATCCTGTACTCCCTCCTCAGCCACAGGAGAACACCTGGGCTCAGGTTAAGAAGAAGCATCTGATCTGGTGTTTGAAAATGTCTGTAGCGTGGCATCTATAGTGCACCAAACATTTCCTCACACTGGAAAAGAGAAATCAGGCATCGATTATCTATACATAACAGTTTCTCAATTCATTGTGTTCTTTCATGTTGCTACTGATATTTACAGAGCAATTTAAAGCAAGCAGTCCCAGTGTGCAGCTATTATATAAACTTGAAATAAAGTAGACTGCAGTTATTCCCCTTGTGTAGTTACTGCTTCCTGGAGATGGTGCTGGATGGCAAGACCTTGTTTTTGCTCCTTTCTCTGATTGTAGTCACCAGATGAGATGTATTCAGGGAGATCTTAAAGATGTAGAAAATTACATAATGTTTGTGCGTGACCAACACCTATTCAGATTTCTTATGTCGATGGACAGATGTGGGAGAAAATGGCTTTGTTTTCATACTTGGGGAAGATTCTGCAATCTGACAGCCCATTAGTTATGTTGAATGGTATTGTTGCAAATTGAGTTTAAGTTGCACTATTCTATGAAGAACGTAGGCATGAAAATGCTCTTCCCAGAGTGGAGATACTGAGGGGATGGGGGCAGAGGTGAGAGGTTCGCCCAGGGCCTCCTCCAGAGGAAGATGTTTGCTCCAACTTTACCTTTCTGTCTTACTTACAGCACAAGGTTAAATAGTGACTGCAGGCCAGGGAGCCACTTCAGGATCCAGTAGAGTTAAAAGAACCGTCGTACACAATGGAAATAAAGTGACAGCAGCTCCCTGTTCATGTGGATGTTATTTGTTAAGCACCTTCACCCACATTACCTTTTTTTAAATTTTTTTGAGAGAGAGATGTTTGTTATAGGGTGTATGTGTTCACCAGAGAAACAGAGAACAAATCACTCCCCGGGGGGGACGACCACGCCACAGTTCCTTCTCCTTAATTCTCCTCTCTGGATATTGGACACACGCAGACACACACACACACACACACACACACACACACGTCTCACGTGAGGGCAGTGTCTTTCTAGTGAGGTCAGCTGAGCTGATTGGACATTTGTGGTCAAGCTCTCTGCTCAGCACAGGTGGTAGAGTGATAAAGAGCTAAGCATCTGCCCTGGGGGAGCCCTGCACTCCTTCAGCCCAGCCTTGTGAGTGCTCTGCTGGGATGCATAGCCTAAGCTTCCCATCCTCCTACGAGGCAGAGAATAAGGCTGAGCAGCTCAGTACCCTGCTAGTACATCTCAGAAGAGATGCTGCATTGTCGAGTCTTCAAAAGCCCCTTGCACACCTTTGGGGCTGGGCTTGCTGGGAAGTAGAACCCCTAGTTTTCCTGCTGGATTCCCACAGTTCTAGGAAGGGCTTTGTCCCCGGGCATCCTGTACTCCCTCCTCAGCCACAGGAGAACACCTGGGCTCAGGTTAAGAAGAAGCATCTGATCTGGTGTTTGAAAATGTCTGTAGCGTGGCATCTATAGTGCACCAAACATTTCCTCACACTGGAAAAGAGAAATCAGGCATCGATTATCTATACATAACAGTTTCTCAATTCATTGTGTTCTTTCATGTTGCTACTGATATTTACAGAGCAATTTAAAGCAAGCAGTCCCAGTGTGCAGCTATTATATAAACTTGAAATAAAGTAGACTGCAGTTATTCCCCTTGTGTAGTTACTGCTTCCTGGAGATGGTGCTGGATGGCAAGACCTTGTTTTTGCTCCTTTCTCTGATTGTAGTCACCAGATGAGATGTATTCAGGGAGATCTTAAAGATGTAGAAAATTACATAATGTTTGTGCGTGACCAACACCTATTCAGATTTCTTATGTCGATGGACAGATGTGGGAGAAAATGGCTTTGTTTTCATACTTGGGGAAGATTCTGCAATCTGACAGCCCATTAGTTATGTTGAATGGTATTGTTGCAAATTGAGTTTAAGTTGCACTATTCTATGAAGAACGTAGGCATGAAAATGCTCTTCCCAGAGTGGAGATACTGAGGGGATGGGGGCAGAGGTGAGAGGTTCGCCCAGGGCCTCCTCCAGAGGAAGATGTTTGCTCCAACTTTACCTTTCTGTCTTACTTACAGCACAAGGTTAAATAGTGACTGCAGGCCAGGGAGCCACTTCAGGATCCAGTAGAGTTAAAAGAACCGTCGTACACAATGGAAATAAAGTGACAGCAGCTCCCTGTTCATGTGGATGTTATTTGTTAAGCACCTTCACCCACATTACCTTTTTTTAAATTTTTTTGAGAGAGAGATGTTTGTTATAGGGTGTATGTGTTCACCAGAGAAACAGAGAACAAATCACTCCCCGGGGGGGACGACCACGCCACAGTTCCTTCTCCTTAATTCTCCTCTCTGGATATTGGACACACGCAGACACACACACACACACACACACACACACACACGCCTGACGTGAGCTCCAAGCCACTGGTCGGGGATTGGAACCGTAGTTGGCCACATGGGAGTTCAACACCTTAACCACTACACCACCTACTGGCCCCCACAATACCTTTTTTAGCCATCAAGGTCAGCAAGGTGAAATTGCTCTTTCCATCTGTGGATGCCTTGCCCTTGTGCCGAAGCATTGCCCCCTGAGTTTCTGCAAAATTCTTATGAAGTCTGGTTGCTTATTCACAGGGGAGTCATCAGCATTGCCTCTTCTGTTTCCCTGTGGAACCCTCAAAAGAGAAGTCCTACCGAAAATGCTCAAGGAGAAAGGTAACTAGAATGCACCGATGGCCTCACTCACCTCTTTGGGGTCTACCGAGAGCCCCTGTGGTGACAGAAGTGGGTAGCCCCACAGAGCCCACACAGGGAGAGCAGGCCAGGGGTGGATACACCAGACCGAGGGCAGCTGGACGCCCCTCATGTTAAGCGTGAGCAAGCAGTCGCTGCTTTCCTTGCTTCAGGTCTCTGACTCACGGCCTCTCCCAAGGCTGCCCTTGCACTTTGCTTCCTGGGGTTGTGAATCCTGTCTTCTAGGGATTCATGGAGCAGCTAGCGATGGTCTGCGTGGACAATCCCCCACAGACATGGGAACCAAAAGCATCTGTGGGTGTGAATGAAGGCTGCGTGTGGGTTCTGGGCCTTTTTCCATCGCTATCTCAGCTTGTTCCACTAGAGAAGCTGTTCTGCGGTATTCAGCAGGCTGCAGAGGGCTGGCAAGGGAGTCTAGCCTCTCCGTCTCCAAGCAGTGTGCTCCAAGAGAGCCGTGCCTTGGGAAGTCTCCACCACCATTGTGTGGCTGCTGAGGTTCTTTGTGTTCCCAATGCAATAAAGACTCTTTCCTGGTTTTGATTGTGCCCAGGGATTACCATGGAAAGCATAACTATCTATCAGACAATTCCACACCCAGGAATCCAAGAGAACCTGAACAGCTATTATTCCCAGCAGGTATGTGGTACTTCCAGGGAGAGCTGGCAGGGTGGGCGCTGGGTGGTGGAAGCACAGGGTGAGGGCCAGGAGCTCACAGAGGTGGGCCCTACACCTTCGTCCACCATCCCCAGCATGTGCTTCAACATGTGGCTCCATCCTTATATTTGTGAAATGAGAATCTACCTATCTAGTAAGGCTTTCAAAGGATGAATGGAAATAATTTTTGTTTGTTCATTTTTTAGTTTTTGATATAGGGCACATGCGCTCACCAGAGAAAGAGAGAGAGAGAGATCACTCCCAAGGGGGCCTGACCACACCACAATTCCTTCTCCTGCACTTTCCTCTCAGGATTTTGGACACGTACATACACATGCCTGGCATGTTTTTCAATCTGGTGGGTCTGGGACTTGAACTACATTGTTGGCCATGTGGATTTCAGCCACCTTAACCTCCACACCACCTGCTTTACCTGAGGAAATAATATATACAAAGCTCTTTGTATAGCACCCAAGACATATACAACCTTGGTAAACATGGTCTCGGTATTATCATAGTTCTTCACTGTGTGGGGCTCTATGGGACAGAGGCTGGTTTCATAGTAGGAAGAGCCTACAGTGCCCACTGAGGAATCTGTATTGAATTTGGGAGCCATGGGAGTGGTGGTGTTAGAGGCCTCAGGCAAAAGAATACATAGCTATTGTTTGAGTTGATTGTCTTCAACATGTATTCAGTAAGATGCCTTTCCTTCCTCTCCCAAGACAGGCTTCTGGACGTCCTGCCTGATACTGGGAGGGCCTTGAGGATAAACCAAATGCAGAAAGGCCATGCAGGCCAGTCTGTCTGCCGTGAGCTCTCCTCCCAGAGGGACGGAGAGTTGACAGGGGCCAGCAGGACTGCTGCCTTACTTGGTCAGTGCCATTTGACCACAGGCACTAGAGGCATTGCCAGTCTGCCAGGCACATGGGCTCCACCATGCCCATGTCCTCTGACCAGGTATACGAAGACCTAGGTGCCAGAAGAGTGAGCAAAGAACATGCCAGCCTGTCTGATGGCAGTCTGCACTTGTTAAACAGTCCTTACCTGAATTCTGCCTGCATGGAACAGAAAATGTCAACCCGAACCAGGAGCCGCCCTGTTGTAAAGCTCCAGGGCTGCTTGAGGCTTGAGGAGTTAGTGCTGATGGAGCCAAGGCACCTTCCTTCTCCTCAGTCTCTAGGCAAGGGATTGATCTCCTATTCTCTTCCCTCCAGGGCATTCCAGCCAGTATCACCTTTTTCAGTCCCTCTGGCCTCACATACAGCCTCAAGCATATTCAAGAGTTATCTGGTGAAAGCATTGACCAAATTAAGGTAAAACAGTCAATAGTTCTGGGTCTTCTTCAGATTCCGTTTTTGGTTTTCTCATCTTTCTACTTATCCTTGGGTTTCCTTGTCAAGTCAAAGCACTCTAGACCCAGCAGGTGCACCCTGACAGCAGTTCTGGAAAGGCAGCGGCACCACTTCCTGGCTGGTGCGCTTACATAAGTAGCTGACCCTCTCTGAACCCGTTTCCTCATTTGTAATATGGAGATAATTACGCCCCTGTGGCCTTTTTAGACACGTAAATGGTCTTCCCTGCATAGTCGGGAGAGAATTTGAGTCCTGAGCTCAGGGCTTGGTACAGATGTCCACATCCTTTCCTTTTTTCCCCATCTAAACATTTTTAAATTGCGATCTGTTCTAAAAGCATTCCTCTTCTTGGCTTTTAATTTAAAGTATTGCCCTTCATTCTTTTTAGTGACTATATTTATTATGAGTCACAACTCCTGTGATGCTTGTAATGGAAATGCCCGTGAGCTGGCACAGGGGGATACAAGGGAGTGGTCAGGGGAGTGGCCCAGAGCCCAAGACTTGAACCCTGACCTTCTGACTCCAGGCCTGGAATTGACTGCTCTGCTTTCCTAAGGGATCCACTCACTGCCCTTGCCATGCTCGACTCCACCTGATTCCACCCAGGGCCCCTGAAACCCAAAGCAGTGCTATCTGCAGCTGGTGCCTCTGAAGAAGGCTGCATAGATCCCAGGCCTCATGTCCCTGCCTCTCCCCTGAGCTGTGGGATAGCGTGCCTTCACTCAGGGTGGCAGAGAGGCTGTAATGAAACCGTGGGTGAAAATGTGTTTTGTAGTCTATGCACCCAGGTTCAAACTGGGTCACGTTATCATTTATGTGAACAGGTCACATGAGGAGTGATGTCCTAACAGAAAGACTGGCTGACAGCTGCCACATCCAGCTGCCCGCTTCCCTGGCCCTGATGTTAAGGCTCTGTCCTCTCTTCCTCTGTTACAGTTCATAGCCATCGGCCCCACCACAGCTCGTGCCCTAGCCTCCCAGGGCCTGCCCGTCAGCTGTACTGCAGAGAGCCCCACGCCACAAGCCCTGGCCACTGGCCTCAGGAAGGTGCTGCAGACCCAGGGCTGCTGCTGAGTCAGCTCCCCCAGTGCCCTTGGCCTCATGCAGCCCTCCAGGGCACATCATCTCCCCTATGGGGCCTACAGCATGGAGCCAAGCACCAGTCAAGGTCTCTCAGGAAACCACCAGCATCAGACTCCTACCTCAAGCCTGAGTGGACCCACCTAGAGATGAGGAATCAAGACTTGGGGCTGGAATTGGACACACATGCACATGACTGCCCTCCTTGGAGACCAACTTGGACTCTATCTAAGCCTGTGTGCACACAAGCTCCCAGGCCCTTGGGAAAGCTTCCTGTGCCTAGCAGGAAGGAAATAAAATAAACCACACTGACTGCTCGGACTTACTGAGTATGCATTGTTTGTGTGTAGCGTTTTCAGTGCACAGCTGTGTTCAGGGAGGTAGCAAATGTTCCCATCTCTGATAATCAATATAGTAATGAGAAATTTGCTGTGTTGGGCTGGCAGGTGGCGTGGTGGTTAAGAGTATTGGACCCCCACATGGTGGACGCAGTTTGAGTCCCAGACCTGGCGGCTTGCTTTCTCACTTTCCCTCTCTCTTTCTCACTCTGTCTCTCTCTGGTCAAATTAAAATAAATAAATAAAGTTAAATAAAATAATTCTTAAAAAATTTGCTGTGTATGAAGAAGGTTTACTATGTTTTTAAGAGAGATTTTTGCTGTAGGGCCCAGAGAGACAGAGATAGAAAGTGAGAAATCAACCCCCACAGGGGTGACCATACCATAATCCCTTCTCCTCCACTTTCCTCCCAGGATTTTGGGCACACATGCATACACACCTGGTGTGAATTTTGAGCTGCCAGATCTGGGACGCAAACTGTGGTCAACTACATGGGAGTCTAGCAATGTAATCATTACATCATCTGGTCTCTTTAAAAAGAACTTTGGCCCAGTCTTGGTGACACAAGCAGTATCTGTGTGATACTGGAGCTAGGTAGGGAAGGTCCCAGGTTCATACCAAAATCTACCTGTACACACCAGGCATGCCCACAGGTGCACTTAGGATTCTAACTGACCGCAGGGCTCAGGTGAGGATCACAACCTGAAGAACCTGTGAAGGGTGCCTGTCTATCTCAGGAAATGAATGAAGCTAAAAAAAATGCACCAAAAAAAAAAAGAATCTTGAAGTTCTTGCTTGTGAGCTGTGGATAATTGTAATTTAAATATAGAGACTTTTTTCCTTCAAAAATGTAACTACAGCATTGGTCAGTCAGAAATCTTGTGTTTTGGTCCGATTTTCTCAATTAGATTCTGGGATATAATATTCAACTCTAGACTTGTCCTCATTTTCTTAGTTTTTGAACTCTTATTTCTGTGTGACTGTATTTAATTTTCCTGGTACAGCACTCCTGAAGAACTTCTTGGAGATCTGGTCTGGTGTTGTAAATTCTTTCAGGTTTTGTTTATCTGAAAATATTCTTGTCTTTTCTTCCCATATGAAGGATAATCTTGCTGGGTCTAGTATTCTTGGTGAAATTGTTTTTCACTCAACACTTTGAATATATTTTCCCATTCTTTCCTTACTCATGTTTTTTCCAATGAGAGGTCCGCTGTTAGCCTGATGAGATATCCTTTGTAGATAATTTGTCATTTCTCTCTTTACCAGTTTGAGTACCTTGTCTCTGTCTGTGGTTTTGCTCAATCTGGCTAAAATGTATCCTGGAGAAGATCTTCTTGGGTTGATTCTATGTGGGGTCCTTTGCATTTCTTGGGAGTGAACCTTTGAATACCTCTCTAGGTTTAGAAAGTTTTCTTCCAGTATTTCATGGAATAGATTGTCAATGTCCTTATGGGTGTGATTCTGTCTTCTACATCTGAGATTTGATTTTCAGTATGATCTAATCTGCTTTTAATACTTTCAAGGGAGGTTTTGACTTCCTGTATTATAGTCTTCATATTTAACAGGTCCATTTGATTCTTTTTTATAGTGTGAATTTCCTTTTAGATCTTGCAAGAATTTCCTCACCTCCTGAAGCTTATCAGCTCCTTTCCCCTGCCTTTCCTCAGTTCATTATATCTCTTCTCTTTGATCTCTGTGAGCTTTGTCACCATGAAAATTCTGAATTCTTTATCTGACATTTCCATGAATTTCATCATACTTTCTGAGGATGAAGAGGAGTTATTATTTTTCCTTGGAGAAGAGGTATTTTCTTGTTTTTCCATATTTCTTGTGACCCTGCAGTGATTTATAGTCATCTTTTTTTTTAAATGAATTGATTTCTAGTCATCTGATGGATGGTGCATTTCTTCTAATTCTTGAACTTCAATCTGAGTGTTCAGAGGCATGCAGGAGGAGATGATCTGCAATTTCTCTTCATTCTGTTCTTACTCTTTGTGCATCAGAATCAGTGGGAATAGAGGAATATTCTGATCCTAATTGTATTCAGATGTTTAGATCTTGTTCACTTGGACCTATCTAGACATTTACTGTGTAGGAGCTGAGAAGCCAGTGAGTAAAGATAAAGAAAAAGAAAAGAATTAGAGAAAAGGAAAGAAGAAAATATAAAAGAAAATAAAAGAAATAAGGGATAATAAAAAACTATATATTTTAATTTTTAAGCAAAAATTGAAAAACGTGTGGCGTGTAAGTGTGAAAGCAATATTTCACAGATGAAGTTCAGGATCCATGTGGAGATGGCCTGGGTTTGTGCCTTTCCTAAACAGAATGGGGAGAGGCACCTATTAACACAATAAAGGGGCTTGAGAGCCCAGAGAATATTTTACCTTAAAAAAATTATTTTTTAATTAAAAGACTAGAGGAGACACAGAGAGACAGAGAAATGGAGAGAAAGAGACAGGTAACACTACCCACTAGAAATAAGTGAAAAAGAAGTAATCTTTTTAAGTCTCTGAAAGCAATATTTCACAGCTGAAGTTCAGGATCCATGTCCTTTTAAACTCTTGACCCAGAATTTGAACTGGACTGAATGAAACCTGGGTTTGTCTTTTTTATTTTTTTAAGAATTATTTAATTTTATTTATTATTATTAGATTGTCAGAAAAGTCACAATGTGTTTTTCTGTTTTTCTATACAAAAATGCATCTTGACTTTTCTGATGACCCAATATTATTTTTTAATCTGACCAGACAGAGACAGAGAGAGAGGGAAAGGGAGAAAGCAAGGTATCAAGGCTGGGCCATGCCACAACAATCCCTTCTCCTTCAGTGACTTGAACCTTGGTTAGCCATGTGAAAGTCCAGCACCTTAACCACCACGCCACCTGCTGGTCCTATGTGTTTGTCTTTTAATGGCATGATGCAGATGATAGAAAAGGTCACTTGTATTACCCACATATGTCTGTCTCCTTGAACGATAAGGCTGGAAGGGACTTCATGGTTAGTCATGTGCCACCACTCTTGTCAAAGGGTATTATGTTCCTTATCTTCATTCCTTGTTAACAACCCTGAGGAGTGGACCTTACTGTTGTTCCCATTTTTATGGTGAAGAAACAGAGGCTCAAGAGGAGATGTGACTTGCTCAGGGCCACACAGCGAATGACAGAACCAGAACACATTTAAAAGAAAATAATGGAGGTCAGCAGGTGGCATGGTGATTAAGGTGTTGGATTCCCCCATGACCAACCATGGTTTGAGTCCCAGACCTGGCGGCTCGAAAAACAACCTGGGTGCATGTGCATGAGTGCCCCAAATCCCAAGAGAACAGAAGAGACAGGATTGTGGTGTGGCCATCTCTCCTGGGGGTGATTTCTCTCTCTCTCTCTCTCTCTCTCTCTCTCTTCTCCAGCAAGCACACATGCCATATAGCAAACAAATTATACTTCTTTCTAATAGGCGGTTAATTCTCAGTCAGCATTATCAAACGGTTTTCCTCCAAACACTATTGTCTTGTGAGATAGTATTTGATGCTCCATGATTAAAAAAATAAATAAAGGTCTTGGTCATACTAGTTTGAGAAGTATTGGATTTTAAACATTTTCTAGAAGCTGTTGACGCCCATTAGAATATCAGACACCCTAATAATGATCGAAATAAAAATATTTGTCCAGTAAGCAAATGCATGTGTCCTATGACAAAATAAACTTAAAAAGGAGAAAAGAGAAAAATGTGAATGTGAGTACGGGGACCTAGACTAATGAATGTATTCATAAGCCACCTTGCATCAAATTTACATTAGTAGAAAAGTGAGGATTCAGTAATAATTGGTTCTCTGAATCTTGATGTACTTGGACAGAAATCCTGCAGCTAAAGTACCATGACGACATCCTGGGGCTTTGCCCAGAATCGTGGAGTACAAAGGCAGATTCTACCCCACGAGCTGCTTTCCTAATTTGAAAGTAAAATCTAGATTGCTACATTTAAAATCCTTCTCATTTTCAAGGAGCCCTTTTCTACAGGAATTATCTTTCCTGTCCTTGAAGAAAAGCCCCAGCCCCAAGCAGCTGGTGTTAAGGACTCTAGCAGCGCCTTCCAGGGCCCCTCTGGCAAGAGAAGCTGAAGGATGGCCCTGAATTCTTAAACGTTAGAAAAATCATTTTTATCTTGTTTAAGTCATGATTACTGTGAGGTTTTTCTGTTACAATCAAAGCCAATTCAAAATTATAAATCAAATATGTACACTGAACATCAAGATAAACTTACTCTGAATTTAAGTAAAATACTCCCTTAAAAAAAAAAAAAAGAGCAGCAGGGTGGGAAAAAAATGCAATTTTTGGACACTCTAGGTTCCTCATACACTTAATATTAAATCTTTTTTTTTAAATCAACAGTGCAATTTTAAACTGTACTTTCATATTATCTGTAGATTTATGACTCTTGTGATTATGTGAAATGTTTGAAAAGTAACTGAAACAACAAAAAGATGAAAAGATTCATGTCTCTAGAAGAATTTTTCTTTCTTTTTTTTTTTTTTTTTTTAGTTTTCGCTATAGTGCTCATGCATTCACCTGAGAGTAAGGGAGTGGAGGGATGGAAACTGTGAAATCACCCCTCCCTCCCGGAGAGCACGCACGCACACGCGCCCGGCGTGAGTTTTAAGCCACCAGGTCCGGGACACGAACCGCGGTCGACTACGTGGGAGTCCAGCGACATAGCCATTACACTAACTGCTGGTTCCCTCTTTTTCTTTTTTTAAAGAATTATTTATTTGTTATTATTATTTGACCAGAGAGAGACAGAGAGAGAGAGAAAAAGGGAAAGTGAGAAAGTAAGCCACCAGGTCCAGGACTCAAACCATGGTTGGCTATGTGGGAGCCCAGCGCCTTAACCACTGTGCCACCTGCCAATCCTGCAGAATTCTTATATTCAAAAAATATTGATAAAATCTACAAAGGCTGCAGAAATGTGTTGACTCTGACAGTTATTCTTTTAGTCATACTGGTTAGTGCGCACTTTACTGCTGGGAAGGTAGGCATAGTCTTCACAGGAGAAATTTCTATCTTTTCTTTAATCTATGAATTAAGGGTGACAAACTTTTCGTTTGTTTGTTTTTGAGAGGTTTTTACTATAGGGCGCATGCGCTGGCCAGAAAGACAGAGAGAGACAGAGAGACAGAAAGCAAGAAATCACCCCCCAGGGGGATGGCCACACCGCAATCCCTTCTCCTCCATTCTCCTCTAGGGATCTTGGGCATGCATACACATGCACCTGGCATGAGTTTAAGCCACCGGGTCTGGGATTCGAAATGTAGTTGACTACATGGGAGTCCAGCGATATAGCCATTATGCCAACTGCTGGTCCCAAGGGTGACAAACTTTTTAACATGTCATTTGATCCTCACCAAACACTATCAGATGGGCCATATTACTTATCTTCATCTTACAGACAAGCAAAATTGTGCTTGGCCACATTAAACACCATGCAGAAGGTTGAGGTGAAGCCAGATTCAAATCTGAGCTGCAAGAGAGTTAGATCAGGGATTGTTCACTTGGGAATGTCAGAATAGACCCCTGACTTAGTGGGGCTGCCAGAACCAAAGGCTGTCAGCTGGGGATCCCTGGGGCTTACAACAGCACGGCCTTCAAGGCTGTCTCTAGCTAAATAGCCTGACATACCTGTCCAGCCTCCCACCCTACCTGTCCCATGGCACTCACACCTCTGAACTTTGGCCATTCCCTTGGTCTGTCTGAAACTCCCCCTCAACTCCTCCACTAACCTCTTTAGGCTGCACTCACTGCCTTCTCCTCAGGGAAGCTTCCCCTGTTTACCCGGCCCCTCCCCAAACTACTGCTATTTCCCTGTGCCTCTTGGCTTGTGTCTCAGTTACAGTATGACTTATTTTATTTCATTATTATTTAAATGTTTTTGTTTTGTTTTTGTTATAAGTGTGTGCACTTGCCAGAGAGAGACAGTGAGACAGTGAGAAAGAAAGTGAGAAATCACCCAACCGGGGGAGAGGGAGATGGCCACGCTCCAATTCTTTCTTCCTTCTCCTGAGATTTTAGTCACGCATATACACAGGCCCAGTGTGATTTTTCAGGCTGCGGGAACTGGGAATTGAACCAGAGTTGGCCGTATGGGAGTCCAGCAGCTTAACCACGATTCCACCTACTGGCTTCTATGATATAACTTTTTTTAACCTATAAATTCACAACATGTGGCTTCTCTTCCCAATTAGACACTTAGCTTGAGTGTAAAGAGCTCCTGTACCTTCCTCAACAGACCTGACACTGCAAACAGCAGGCACTCCTGTAGGTATTTTTTTTTTCTTTTTTTGGAGAGGTGTTTGCTATAGGGCATGTGCGCTCGCCAGACAGACAGAGAGAGACAGAGAGATAGAAAGCAAGAAAAAACTCCTGCCAGAGGGGATGGTCACGCCGCAATCCCCTCTCCTCCATTCTCCTATCAGGATCTTGGGCACGCACGCACACGCGCCCTGTGTGAGTCTAAGCCACGGGGTCCGGGACTCAAACCACGGTCGACTACATGGGAGTCCAGCGACATAGCCATTACACTAACTGCTGGTCCCTCCTGTGGGTATTTTGCTAATGGTGGATTTTGTCCTGCAACTGCTTTGTTTTCCCAAATGTTTACTTTCTGCAGCAGATGAGTGAGGAATAACTAGAGGGATGTGACCTTGATGGGCGTGGCTGTCCTTAAAGGCCCAGACTAGGTGGACCCTCTCTGCAGAACTTACCCCAGCTCAGTTCCTAATTCCACAAGGATGGCTATGACTTGATTGTTTTTTTTTTTTCTTTTTTTGAAGAGGTTTTTGCTATAGGGCGTGTGCGCTCGCCAGACAGACAAAGAGACAGAAAGTGAGAAATCACCCCCCAGGAGGGATGGCCACACCGCAATCCCTTCTCCTCCATTCTCCTCTTGGGATCTTGGGCATGCACACACACACGCCCGGCGTGAGTTTAAGCCACTGGGTCTGGGACTCAAACCGCAGTTGACTACGTGGGAGTCTAGCAACATAGCCATTACGCTAACTGCTGGTCCTGTTATGACTTGATTGTCACAACAATCTTGATTTTTTTTTTTTGGTAGTCTGCTAGAGTGTGTGCGCTCACTGGAGAGAGATGGAGGAGAGAGAGAGATGAGAGAGAGAAACCCCCTCCATGGGGCAGGATTACACTGCAATCCGTCTCCTCTCTTTCTTACTTCTTTTGGGATTTTGGGCACACACACACACTCAGTGTGCTTCCCAAGCTCCCGTGTCTGTGACTTGAACCTTGTGGTTGATCATGTGGGGGTCCAACCACCTTAACCACCATGCCACCGACTGGCAATCTTGATTCTCTCATTGCTTCAGATTAGATTTTATTCCAACAGAAAATCTCACAGTAATAGTGGTTTAAGCAACACAGAAGCTGATAGTTTTTTTTTTTTGTTTTTTTTTTTTTTTCATTCAAGAAGTCCTTAGTCTGTGCCTTTGTTCTTTTTGGGGGTGTCTCTGGGCCCCTGGAGGGCACGAGCTATGTTTAGCTCTAATCCCTAAGTAACTGGCAGAGGACACAGGATGGGACTCACGAGGTTTGAGGGGAATCCATCCAAATCTCACCTTTACTGGCCTGGAGACACTTTCCTCCAGGTAAGCCTCCACACTCAGAGGCAGTACGTCAGGAAGGGTGACTTCATCCGCTGATGAGAACATGCTGCCCATTATTTATTAGCCTGCAGCCTCCAGCTCTTGCTCCTACCTCCTGTGTGCTGTGGCAGTGTTTTTCTCAAACAGAGACAGCAGGAGGCAGTAGCTCAAACCTCTCCTGACAGGTAGAAGTAACTCCTCACAGCAGCCAGCAAGTCAATAGCAGGACAGGAACTCAGGCCTGGGCCTGAGCCATTCCATTCCCTTCCTGCACCTGCCTTTCCACCAAAAGCTTCCTAAACTTCCTGAAATGTGACGTGGTCCTTATCTCCAAGCCAGCAAAGAAATCCAGACATGGTCCCATTATGAAGGGGCTGGTTCTTGTTTCTATCCTGATACTTCGGTGGTGGCTCCTATGTAGCTGGTTTTAGCTTTCCGCCACCCTCATGGGGGTGACTGAGCCAGGGGCCTGGTCCGATGGGAAAGGGAGCAGCAGATGGGTCCAGAAGCAGTGAGCTGAGTTTGGTGGTGTAGCCTAGGCTCCAGGGGCACGCTTTATTCTGGAGGGAAAACTACAAGTCACACTCATGGGCTGTCCCAAAGTGGAGTTATTTTACTGAGTGCCCATCCTGTCTAACATCTGGATCAGGGGTTATTATCCTCCCCCCCCCCACACACATCCTGCCCAAACACCCCAGGGCATGTAAAAAATGCATCTCTGTGGGCAGAAAGCAGTCCCACCTAAGGCCAGATTCTATGTCTGTTCCAGGGCAGAGACTCAAGTCTGCTCCGGGTCTCTCGGTATATTGGTCAGGGTTCTCCAGAGAAACAAAACTGAAAGGATCGATAGAGAATGGGAATACATCATGGGAATTGGCTCACATGATTATGAAGGCCAAGAAGTCCCACTTCTGCCATCTGCAATTTCCAAGTCACAATTTCTACCCACTAAATAAATAAATTAATTAATAAAAATGTCCTAAACTATGAGCAAACTAACAGTCACGGTCTTCCAGCGGCGGGCTCGGTTACGAGGTGTGTGCTGTCGGAACAAGGTTTTGTGCCTCTGCTAACAGAACCCGTGGAAATGCATAGTGACTCCCCTGCTCCTTCAGGCAGCAAGCGTGCCACCTGCGCATCACCATAGAAATGGAATCCACAGGCATTTGCAACTTTGAGATGTGGCAAACAGGAGGCTGAGGGAAGACGAGTTCTCACACAGACAAAAAAGGTGGTCCTGGGGTCTTCAAAGGTAGCACCTCCAGGGCCTGTCCTGGGCACACTTCAGGGCTGGGTGAGAAATACCGGGAAACTTGGAAGCTTCCCTGTGTATAAAAAGAAACTTGGAGGCTTCACTGTGTATAAAAGGGGGCCAGGACCTGCTCCTTAAGGAGGGGAGACGAGGACGAAGCCAGGCAGGGAAAGCCAGGTTCAGACCAGGCCATGCTTGCTGCCTCCATCTTCCGTCCGACTCTGATGCTTTGCTGGCTTGCTGTCCCCAAGCCTGCCCTGCCTGAGACACTCTTCCACAGCCGAGACCACTCGGACCTGGACCCGTCCCCTCTGCGCCGGGCCAAGCCCATCACTGACCTCCATGCTGCTCAGGTAGGAGAAGGCTAGAGATCAGCCTCACACACTTGTGCACGCACACACACATGCACAGACCATGGTACAGAGAGGCAGAGACACTCCAGGCATGCAGGGCTAAGAGGCAGCTACACAGGCTTCACGGGAAATGCAGCTTCCATGCTGCTGGGAGGAATGAGGATGAATCTGCTTAATGGACACCATGGGTTGCCTCCAGTAAGTGTGGCTGTTGCCCATGCCTACAGACAACAGTCCTAGATATCAGGTACCTGTCTTTTTCTGCATGTGCTAGAGGGTACATGTGCTCACCAGAGAGACCGAGAGAAAGGGAGAGGAGAAAGCACCCCCCTGGGGTATGGTCACACCACAATCCCTTCTCCATTTCTCCCTCCTTTCGGGATTTTAAGCGCATGCAGATCCAGTGAGTTTCTTAAGCCCCTGGATCCAAGACTCAAACCGTGCATTTGGCCATGTGGGATCTGGGGGCCTTAACCACCAGGCCACAGAGCTGGTCTAGTGTCAACTACCTTTCTAACTGCAAGCATGTGATGTTACATGTGGCTATCACCCTGTTCTGATGGCATTCCATGGCTGCCCACCACACCAGTCTGTGGATACATACAGAGAAGAGGATGGGCCCCATGAAGATCCCCTATACAGCAATATTGAAGATCCTTAATAGAGCTGTCCTGTGAGGTGGCATTTGTTGACTTCACTGGAGCTCCACAGTAACAAGGAGAAAGGTTCTCATGGAGTCATGGGTGGGGTAGGGAGTGGACTGGATGAGGCCTTCAGACCTGCCAAGGACACTTGGTCCTAGTGGTCCATCATACACTCACTATAAGCAGATGGTCAAGATTTGCAAGTTTAACCCCTACTCCAAAGGTGCCCCTGGAGATGGAGGGCAGTGAGGAAGGAGAGCTGGGGAAGGCTGCCTCGGCTGTTGACAGGACACATGTTCGTGACCAGGCCCTTAGCCTGGGTTCTGCTTCTCCTCCCTCTGTGTGGATTGAAGAAGCATTCTAATTTCCAGCTTTCTGGCCAGGACTTCCTCCACTCTCCATGGTGTGGCACATGGTCTGGCCTTCCTCAGCCTCCCCCTGGTCTCCTGTGGCTTTGTGTGTTTGCCAGCAACCCTGACCAGTCATCTCTGACCACAGCGCCCTTCCTCCCAGCCCACGCTCATTGAGCCTCATCCAAGCTTCCTCCTTCTTCACCTTGACCCATGCTGGCCGAGCCAGGCCCACCCACTCAGGGTGATACCCTCACCCCCTGACATGCTCTCCACATCAGCACTCACACTGACTTCCTATGTCTCTGTCTCTCTCTCTTGCATCCCTCTCTCTGTCCTTGCTCTCTTCGTCTCTGTCTGTTCTCCTATCCCTGTCTCTGCTTGTCTTTTTCTTTTTCTCTCTTTTCTCTTTGTTTCTATCTTCCTCTCTCTCCCTGTCTCATTTGTCTGTTTCTCCTCTCTGTCCCTGTTTCAACTTTTCTCATAGACTTTGGGGCAGGAGAAGCGTAGGGGTGTGAGAAGGTGCTGGTGGGAGGCAGCCCATGGATTTGGATGTTTTTCTCTCCCACAGCGGTTCTTGTCCCAATACGGCTGGTTGGGAGTGCCAGCAGCCTGGGGGCCCAGCCCTGAGAGGTCACCAGAGGCCCCTGTGGGCACCACCCTAGCCGAGGCCGTGCGAAGGTTCCAGCAGGTGAACGCGCTGCCAGCCAGTGGGGAGCTGGATGCAGCCACACTGGCAGCCATGAACAGGCCACGCTGCGGTGTCCCTGACACACAGCTTTCGCACCAGGCTGCCCCAACCACCCTACCATCCATCCTGGGCCTACTCCCTAGGGCTCGCCCGAAGCGCTTCCTGCAAATGCTGCTGCCCAGGCCCAGCCAGCAGCAGGAGGACTCCCTGGACAGTGGGGCCACCAGGGTCTTCCCTAAAAAGACCCTGACCTGGAGGCTGGTGGGCGAGGCCTACAGTAGCCAGCTTTCTGTGGACGAGCAGAGGTACATTTTCCGACTGGCCTTCCGGATGTGGAGTGAGGTGACACCACTGGACTTTCGTGAGGATCTCACTGCTCCTGGGACTATGGTCGACATAAAACTGGGCTTTGGGAGAGGTAAGAAGGGTGCAGGCTCCGACTTCATCTGCCCTGTCCCAGGCTCGCCCTCCTGCTTCCCAGCCTAGCACCCCGCCCCAAAAGCGCCATCCACTGGGCCCACTGGGGTCAATCCCACCTCAGTTCTTCCTCATCACCACAGAATGGTGCTGCTAACCCCTACCCTGGGGCTTGTTCTGAGGTGACACCCTGCAGAGAGCCTGGAATGGTCACCTAGAACACCAAGGCTATTCCCTCACTCCTCCGAGCAGGCCAGCCCTATGAGTGCAGGCTCGCCTAGAGAGCTCAGTGTGCCCGTCAGAGCACAGCCCAGGCTGCCCAGTCCTCCCTCCCACCTCCTACGGAGCTTTGACCTCAGTCACGAGCCAGGGAGGGCTCTCACGTAGGTGCCCCCACTCCTAGCTGGGGGCATTTGAACACATGACACGTATTCCCTGCAGCCCCATCTGTGAACAAGGATACTCATGCCCGCCTTGCTCACACTGGACTAACTTCCCAGTGTGAGAGTGCATGGCACATGGTTTGCTGGAAAAGCATACGAATGCAAGTGACTGTGACTGCCTGTATTTCATGATCTACTCAGCTGTCAGGATCCAGCTGAAAACTGGCCTCTTCCTTAAACCTATTTGACATCACTGGGTGCTGCCTGCTCCCTGCTGGGGCCTGGGGAGTGACACAGTCCTTCCCTGTTGCCACTGCGCTTGGTAGCTCACTCTGTTCCCAACAGCCTTTAGACTTCATCAGCACACTGTTTATGCATGAACCGCATGTGTGCACCTCACGGGGAGGGGTTAACCCAGACCCAGGAGTGGTCTCTGTGTCTGTCTCTGGTCCTGGACAGCAAGCTGCTCACGGCTGGGCACTCGATACATGTCTGTAGCAGTTAGGGAGGGAACCTCTGGAATGGACACTCATTTACCTGGGCCATCACCCTCTGCCCTCCCTAGGCCGGCACCTCGGCTGTCCTCGGGTTTTTGACGGGAGTGGGCAGGAGTTTGCCCATGCCTGGCGCCTGGGTGATATTCACTTTGACGATGACGAACACTTCACACCGCCCACCAGTGCCATGGGCATCAGCCTCCTCAAAGTAAGTGGTCTTGAGCTGCTTGTCTTGATGAGGCTAAGAGCAGGGCAGTGTGGGCTGAAGTCCAGAAAGTCAGAGCTTTCTCTGTGAAGGGTCCATATCCTCCTGCAAAGTCTGATGAGTCTTTCGAGATGGGTCCCCAGTTCTTGCTATCGATGCTCTTCTCCTTAACAAGCACAGCTTCTCACAAGGCAAGGCCTGCCCTCTGCAATTAGGGGAGGGTCCCAGTGGTACTCAAATGCCCAGACTTGACACGGCAATGATGGCTTCTGTTCCTCCTAGGTGGCTGTTCATGAAATTGGCCATGTCCTCGGCCTACCTCACACCTACAGGGCAGGATCCATAATGCAACCAAATTATCTTCCCCAGGAGCCTGCATTTGAGTTGGACTGGTCAGACAGAAAAGCGATTCAAAAGCTATATGGTAAGACTGTCCTGAGGCAGGTCACCCCAGAACTCACAGGGGACATTTGTAATCCGAAGCACAGCTTGGACCTACTCACTCCTCACTGGGAGAGTGGTCTCCTAAAACACAAAGTTGAACACAACTCTGATATCAGACAAGAGTAGCTGACCTCAGGGCCAAAAGGTGGCATGATGGTGAAGGCATTGGACTTCCCCATGGCTGGCCATAGTTCAAGTCCTGGACCTGATGGCTTAGCTTTCTCACTTTCTCTCCCTTTCTCTGTCTCTCTCTGGTACACACAATGCCCTATAGCCAATAATAATAATAATAATAAACAAAATTAGGTAATTCTTTTTAAAAAAGAACAAGTGTAGCTGCCCTCTAGCTCCAAGACATAATTTTCTTAGTTAAAAGTGGTCCTGTCCAGACTGTAGCCAGGTGGAGAGGTAAGGACACTCACCATGGACAGCCCCTCCTGTGTCCTGCCTTCCACATGCCACGTACATGGGAGGAAAGAGGAAGACACAGAGGTTTCTGAAAGACAAGCAGGCCACCAGTGCCATAGCAGCCCATAAGAGTTATATGAACTCAAAGCCACTGGAAGGGCAAAGAACAGCTTCATTTTGTCGGGATAAGCTTTATATTTAACTGTTTAGGCTAAAGTACTAGTGATTATTTAATTAAAGTGAGCGATTTGGCACAGTCCTAAGGGTAAGAAAGATACTCTCCTCTTTTTCATTTAAAAGTCCCTAACAGAGGCCAGCCCCATTTTTGTTCTACTCACATCCTCTTGTGCTTGGCATTCAGCATCTTCGGAGACAACAAAAACCAGAACACATTTATTTCCCCAGTGTGCTCAGAACCAAACTTCTTCCCTCTGATGAAATCAGATTGACCATCAAGAAGTATCGGCGATCTACGTAGAGTGGTCATAGCTTTATCATTTGAGTTGAGAGTCTTTGAAAGTCACTGGGGGTGGCGTGGTGGTTAAGAGACTAGACTTCCACATGGTCACATGGCCACATGGCCAACCGTGGTTTGAGTTCCAGACCTAGTGGCTTGCTTTCTTACTTACTCTCTGGTCAAATTAAAAATAATAATTTTTTAAAATACAGAATTATTTATTTAGTTTCATTCATTCATTTATCTTTTTTTTTTTTTTAATTTGACTAGAGAGAAAGAGAGAGAGAGGGAAAGTGAGAAAGAAAGTCACTCGATCCAGGATTTGAACCTTGGTCGGCCATGCAGGAGTGTCCAGTGCCTTAATCACCACACCACCTGCTGGTCCCCAATAATAATTTTAAAATTCCTTTTTATTTTTTTAAAGAGGCTTTTGCCTTAGGGCACGTGCATTCATCAGAGAGAAAGACACAGAGACAGTGAGAGGGAAAGTGAGAAATCACCCCCTGGGGAGATGGCCACACCACAATCCCTTCTCCACTCTCCTCAGGCACTTTTGGGCACCCATGCACTTGTGCCTGGTGTAAGTTTCAAGCCACTGGGTCTGGGACTTGAACTGTGATTGGCCATGTGAGAGTCCAGTGACATAAACGCTATGCCATCTGCTGGCCCCAATAATAAAAAAATTCTTAAAAAAAATTTAGAATAAAAAATGGGAACACTGAATAACAAAGCCAGGAACACTCCAGTGGTCTAGCCCAGTTGCAAGCAGGCTGGGTTCCCCCAGTTCCTACTGCTTAATCTACTTCCAGTCCTCTATGGCATTTGTTTTTAAATAATCATTTTATTAATCTTGTTTTATCTATTTATTTTAATTTAACCAGAGAAGGACAGAGTGAGAGAGAGAGAAAAAGTGAGAAAGCAAGCCACAAGGTCCGGGACTCAAACCGTGGTCAGCCATGTGGGAGTCCAGCGCCCTTAACCACCACCACCCCCCCCCACCTGCTGGCCTCCTTCTACGGTATTTTGCTTTAAGGTGACTTAATAGAAAACTCCAGCTTTGCAACTGTCACTAATCAAGTCACATATGAAAGTAGAGTAGTTGGTTTTTGTCCAATGTGACAAATGGTTGGATCTTTTCTTTTTCACTTTTTTTAAAGAATTATTTATTGAATTTTATTTATTCACTTTTTAAAAATTTGGCCAGAGGGAGACACACAGCCAGAGAGAATAGAAGACAGAGAGAAAGAGGGAAAGTGAGAAAGCAAGCCACCAGGTCCGGGACTCGAACCCTGGTCAGCCATGTGGGAGTGTCCAGCATCTTAACCACCACGCCACCTGCTGGTCCCTCTTTTTTCCATTTTTTTAAAGGTTCATGTAAAGGATCATTTGATACTGCATTTGACTGGATTCGCAAAGAGAGAAACCAATATGGAGAAGTGATGGTGAGATTTAGCACATACTTCTTTCGCAACAGCTGGTACTGGCTTTATGAAAATCGAAACAACAGGACACGCTACGGGGACCCTATCCAAATCCTCATTGGCTGGCGTGGAATCCCAACGCAAAATATAGATGCTTTTGTCCACATCTGGACATGGAGAAGAGATGAACGTTATTTTTTTAAAGGTAAAAGTTCTTCAAGGATGATGCTATTTCTTTTGTTTAATGAATTCATTCAGAATACATGTCCTCACACACAAGAAATTAACAAATTCTTGTCTGTTCAACCAGCCTGCAAGCTCTGTGAGCACAGGAACTGGGCTGTGTTCCCTGATCCTTTTTTAAAATCTTTCTTTCTTGAGAGAAAAATTAATACACAGAGAGAGAGAGACTTGCACAACCAACAGGGTCTCATGCCATGACCCCCAGGCCCCCACTCTTCCCAGCTAGCCTGAGTCATGGATGTCACGGGTGCATGTACCTGACATGCACAGGTTGCCTGGAAAGCTGAACCCACACTCTTCCAGATGAGTCCAGCATCAGAGTAGTGCATTACTGCTGTATTACAAAGCTAGTCCTTGACTTTTTTTTTAAAAAAAAAAAAAATCATTTTCTTTAACTTTATTTTTATTTGACCTGAAAGAGACAGAATGAGAGGGAGAGAGAAAGTGAGAAAGCTGCCAGGTCTGGGACTCGAACCATGGTCGGTCATGTGGGAGTACAGTGCCCTTAACCACCATGCCATCTGCCAGCCCCAGTCCTTGATTTTTTTTTTTAAGAAAATACTTAAGTCATCAAATGAATGAATTAGTGAAAGAACTTCTTTAGGCACTGAAGTGGTTGCCAAAGAGGTGTAAGAAAGTACCCCGCCCTATAGAAGTTTTAATCTAGCTCTGAAGAGAAACCAGCAAACACCTTGGAAGCCTATGTACGTATAGATGTTTCTAAGGAGTAGACTGAGCAGTAGCGGTGATCACGGGCAGCTGAATAGATGCTGGCATCACCAGGAACCAGGCTTAACCTAGACGTCAGGTTGGTGGGATCTAGAATGTCCAGAAAGCAGCACTGGAATCGTGTGGGGGTGAGGTAGGGGAGAGGGGTGTGAAGGAGCTGAGGTGGTCAGAAACAGGTAGAGACATGACCTTGAAGCTGGGAACGAAAAGGTCTGTGAGACAATCAAGTCCATCGATGTGTTCCAGGGGACTGATACAGGATGAGATGAGGTTGAAAAGCCCCGGTCAACCTGACCGTGGAGCGCTTAAGTAAATGCCAGGGTCTGGGGCTGGGCTTTATCCAGCACACAGGAGCAATTTCTCAACAGGGAAGATCAATGCTTGGCTGAGCGGCAGCAGCTCAGGGAGTGGGGCCCAGGGCTGGGTCATGGCAGGCATGCAAAGAAGTGCTCTCTGAGACTTCCTTCCACAGCTCCTTATCCGCAGGCCTTGTCACACACCTGCTTGGCAGTTCACACAGGCGTGCTGCCTTTATAGCAGAGTATAAGTGCACACGTGATTTCATGGTTACTGCATTTCCTATCCCTTTCCCACCCGGACATAGGTTACGTATGCGCTCTTTTTGAATTCTAGTAATGTAACATTACTTGAGTTTTCAATTGCTCAAAAAGAGCTAAGGCAATAGCCAAACTGAATACATCTATGTATAAATTTGGGCTTCAATTTGGTCTTCTCTTTCTTATCACACAAAGGAAGAATTATTTTAGTTCAGTTTAAAGAAATTGCTTTATGGTAGGCTTTTATATTTCAGGTCTTTTGAGGCACATTTTTCAGTGCTTCAGGAAGTCTCAAACTAGAATTTATGTTGGCAACCCTTGAATCTTAATTGTGGAATTAAGTCATGATGGGGGGAGGATGCTACAATTCAGCTGTACTTTATTCTTGGAGCCTTAAAATAAATTTCATTTGCTAGGAATACATTAAATTAAAAAAAATCACTTTAGGTAGTGAACTGCATCTTTAACTGGACGTATGGTGTATGTTCTCAATGAATATTTGGTTGCTAAGGAATAGAACTGCTTGAAGTGTTCCGTGAGCTGAACACAGAAGTACCGAACTGAGCGGGTTTTATTCTATCGCATACTGGCACTATGCAAAAGAGTCTGGATTAGGAATAAGGGAAGTCTAGGATAATTCTCTAGTGTTTCAGAGCATGAAATCAGCATTTGGACTTTGGAACAAAAAGGCACAAAATTACAAGATATTTCTTAGAACAGTGAGTAAAATGTCTCGTGGGTGGAATCAGGAATTCTGGACTGCATCTCTGGCCAACTAGGCCGTCTGAGTTTGAGTGAGTCACTGCATCTCTCTCGTTTTCTCATTTGTAAAATGGTGTGTGTGTGTGTGTGTAACGAGATGCCTCCAAACCACTGAAAAAAGGTATATCCCAATAACAAGTATCAAAATTTCTTCTTGAAAAAAAAGAAAAAGAAAAAAAAATTTCTTCTTGTAGGGACCAGCAATGGGTAATGGTTACATTGCTGGACTCCCACGTATGAACTGTGGTTCAAGTCCTGGACCTGGCAGCTTAAAAACCTCATGATGGATGTATGTGCCTATGTGCTCAAAATCCCAAAAGGAAAATGGAGAAGGGATTACGGCATGGCCATCTGCCCTGGGGGGTGACTTCTCACTGTCTCTATCTCTGTCTGATGCGCACAGCACCCTATAGCAAAAAATCTCTCCACACACATACACACAAATTTCTTCTGTAAAAACAGGGCTTAGGAACCAGCAGTTGGCATAATGGCTGTTGCTGGACTCCCACGTAGTCGACTACGGTTCAAATCCTGGACCCAGGGGCTTAAACTTACGTCAGGCATGTGTGTGCATGCATGCCCAAGATCCTGAGAGAATGGAGGAGAAGGGATTGCAGTGTGGCCATTGCCCCTGGGGAGTGATTTCTCGCTTTCATTCGGGCGAATGCACGTGCCCTTTAGCAAAAACCTCCCCCCCAAAAAACCAAAAGGGCTTATATGAATTAGTATAGAAAAATAATTCAGGACTACTCATGGGCCACTAACATATGAAATGGAGATCTTTAGCTGATGAAGGTGGGAAAAGAATACTCAGGTGAAAGATCACATTATTTTATTTATTTTTGCTTTTGAAATTTTAAAATTTCCCCTTTATTCATGACAGTTCATGAGCATGCATATGAGACAGTGAGCACCCAAAGTACTTCCAAAAAAGAATGGGATCTGGTTACTTGGCAATACCTCTTCCTCTAATTTTCCATCCCATCAGGATCTTGGGTACTCAACCTCACACATTTTGTAGCCAGGCTGGGATTCAAATCTTGGTGGGCCATGTGGGGTCTGGCTTGTGCATAATACTTTATCACTACACTATGGGGTCAGTCTTGGTTTTGCCTTTGATAGGGTTATAACCATGGACTGGGGCTCACTGTGAAAGGCAACCAACATTCTAACTACAGCAATGTTGTATAAGAAAAATGGATTACTATAGTCAAATCTACAAGTAATTTAATACCTCAGAGAATCAAGAGGCATAACTAAGATGCTTAAAAAGTCCTCCTTTCTCCTGGGATCACAGTGGAACATTAGACATGATGTTGAAAGTTGTTCTATGGGACCCGCTGGCTTGAAAAATCATGCCAGGCATGTGTGTGTTTGTGTGTGTGTGTGTGTGTGTGTGTCCAAGATTCCAGGAGGAGAATGGAGAAAGGACTGCTGCGTGGCCATTCTTCCAGGGGTGGGGTGGGGCGTGATTCTCATTTTCCTTCTGTCTCTGTCTCTCAGGTGAATGCACACGCTCTACAGCAAAAACCTCAAAAAAAAAATCTTAATAAGCCATATTAACATGTTTTGGTTGGGTCTCAGGAAATCAATACTGGAGATATGACAGTGACAAGGATCAGGCTCACACAGAAGATGAACAAGGAAAAAGCTACCCCAAATTGATTTCAGAAGGATTCCCTGGCATTCCAAGTCCTCTGGACACTGCTTTTTATGATCGGAGACTGCAGTTAATTTACTTCTTCAAGGAGTCCTTTGTAAGTAGAATGCCTTCCAGCCTAGTGTTGCTTCTGTCATTCCTAATTGGGATTTGTCAGATGACCAAGTTCTTAGTTAAAAAGATCTAGCTGCAGGTCTATACAAGCAATAGCTGCAGGTCTATACAAGCAATAGCAGGTCGTTAAGGATGGAACACTATTAAGAGCTTCAAACTTATAGAATTCAGTACAAAGTCACTTACTTACCTCAATGCTGTATTAACCTAGAAATCAATGTTACTCAAATAGACTATCTCATTTGCCTTGCAGGTATTTGCATTTGACATCAACAGGAATCAAGTACTCGACTCTTATCCAATGAAGATTACTGAAGCTTTTCCAGCAATAACACCACAAAACCATCCGTTTAGAAATATAGATTCAGCTTACTATTCCTATGCACATAACTCTGTTTTCTTTTTTAAAGGCAATGCCTACTGGAAAGTAGTTAATGACAAAGACAAACAACAGAATTTCTGGCTTCCTTCTAATGGCTTATTTCCCAAAAAGTCTATTTCAGAGAAGTGGTTTGACATTTGTGATGTCCATACCTCCACACTTAACATGTAATGAGGAAAAAAAGCAGGAAAATGGAGACAGTCATTATGATTTCTCTTGTAAGAAAAATTCTGGTTTCTTTTATAAAGAAAACAAACCAGATTCTTAGTAGCCAAAGCAAATAAATAAGGCTCCCATCTTAGAATAGGTATCACTTGAACTTTTAAAATACTTGATGTAAAAAATTGCTCAGGCAGAAAATAATTTACTGAAGAATTTTACTAAATTTTTAGGAAAGGTTAAAGAAAGAGAAGAGCAAGCATCTCAAGAACGTTCTGTCCTTGCTGTCTATTCTGCAGGGAGCTCTGCAGCCATATCCCACACTGCCTGCCCCGCCTGCTCTGTGGGCATTGGGAAAGCCAGAGCCATGGTCAGATCATCAAGGAAGAAGAAAGCCACCTGAAGGGCTTGGAAATGATTTTACTGCGCTTTAAAACTGAGAAAATCAATGGGAAAGGTCACAGAAGGTGAATTCACTACACTTTAAATACACCCCGACATAATGACATATTTTTCTAATCCTTACTGGTGTACAAAGAGTTTTCCTATGTAGTTCTCTCTTGATCTGCACGACTTGGTCAGAGTGGCAGGACACATACTACTGTGCACATTTCCAGCTGAAGAAACTGATGCTCATTCGTTGTGTCCTGCCAAAGGTCAACCCCAGTAGTGGCTCTTGGCCTCAGCCCCCAGTCTAGCCCCGAGTCCTTTGTGCTTTCTCCCCATCTCTGTGGTAGCCTCTGATTGTCCAGCTAGGTACACCCTCTTGTTGGAACATCCGGGTCTGTATCCCAAATGGTCCTGAACAGAACAACTTTTCTGGCTCACTAGAATTCACTGAGTAGTCTCTCCCTGCAAAGCAGAAATCACTTTATATGAATTTACTTATGTTCTGAAGGCCAGTAAGTCTCTTGAAGCTAGTATATAATTTTATTTTTCCCATTATCAGTTGTACCTACAATAGGCATTATGGTCCTTTAACTTTTACATTAAATAACAAAACCATGTTACATATGACGTGGGCAAAATTTGAGCAATGAAATTAACCGAAAAAAGATTCATGGTTTCGATAATCAGGCCACAAAGGCCACATTTCTTCTCAAGAAATAGCTAACACAGTTACTTTATGCTTAAATTTAAGTTAAAATCAGCAAATTACAAATATATTTTAAAATGATCTTTTCCCCCTCAGGAATGTTCATGTTTGTTATCGCTTTGACAAAAGAAGATAGCTAGGATCCTCTATTTTCTTGCTGAAAATAAAAATTCCTCTTGACTTAAAGGCTGTAAAGCTAAGGAGCGATGAGGAGATAAGATACATGACTCTAGGACCAGCAGGTAGTGTGGAGCTTAACACATCTGGATCCCACACGGCTGAATATACCCTCTGCAACTTGGACCTGGTGGCTTGAAAATCATGCCAGGCATGTGTTCATGCGTGCGTGTCCCAAACCCTGAGAAGAGAATGGGGGAGAGATTATGGCATGACTATCCCCCTAGGGAGTGATTTCTTTCTTTCTCTCTATGGCAAGCACACATGCCCTATATATAGCAAACAAACAAACAAACAAACAAACAAAAAAACCCCTAATATCCCTAACTGCAGCTTGTTCTACATAAGTAGGAAAATTCTTTTTGAATTCATTAACCACACTGATCATATAACCAATGTAAGTGCCCAGATTTAATTTGCAGAATAAAGACAGATTTATTTTGTGTGTGCTTGCTGCAAGGGAAAACAGAATGACAGGCATCCTGGAAAGAGATTTTGTACAATTTAGACAAAACTTGAAATACATCAATGATTCATTTTTGCAAAAGAATGCAAATCTGTCCTAAGGACAATGCAAACTAAACAACAAGGAGGTAAACAAATGGTAAGAGAGAATTCAGTCAAGCTATAATGGATGCTAATGGTCAATAAAACTGAAAATACCTGTATAAAAGAAAGTGGTTTGTGAAAATTCAGACAATTTTCTCTAGCACAGTTCAGATTCTTTGTGTTGTGGGAAGGGCTCTGCTCTGCCTGGAGGATCCAGAGTGAGCGGAGGCTGCCCAGGGACTGAGGGAGTCAGTAGCCTCTCTCCCTGCCCTCAGGCCCAGGGTAGTGGACGTGACAACCCTGGTGTCATGCGTAGGAATCCAGACTGTCACCCTGTCAAAAGCATCTGTCAGATTTACATGTTACCTTGTCCTTCTTGAAACTGCAGTATTGTTATGAAGGACAAATACAGCTCTGTACACTGTAGGCACTGAAAAAAAGAGTATATCTGTATATAACTGGATGAGATCCATATAGCAGCAATAAGAAATAAAAGGTTTTGCTAAGAATTAAGTGGATGGCAGAATTTTACTTTTAATATCTAATATTTGATATCTATATTATAAAATTTATTAACTAAACTGAATTCAATTCAAAACTTAATGTGGGGACCAGCAGTTAGCGTAATGGCTATGTCACTGACTCCCATGTAGTCGAACACAGTTCGCGTCCTGGACCCAGTGGCTTAAAACTCACGCCGGACACGTGTGCGTGCATGCCCAAGATTCTGAGAGGAAAATGGAGGAGGAGGAGAAGGGATTGTGGAGTGGCCATCTCCCCTGGGGGTGATTTCTTGCTTTCTGTCTCTCGGTCTCTCTCTGTCTGGCGAACACATGCACCCTATAGCAAAAACCTCTCCAAAAAAAAACCCAAAACTTAATGTGAAGGGGCCAGCATGGTGGTGTGGTGATTAAGGCACTGGACTCCCATGTCTGACAGCAATCTGAATCTCAGATCTGACAGCTTGCTTTCTCATTTTCCTTCTCTCCCTCTCTCTATCTCTCTCTGGAGAGTGCACGTGTCCTACAGCAAATTTAAACTAATAATAATAATAAATAAAATAATTCAGAAAACCCCTCAGTGTGAAGGAAGCAAGATGGAAATATACAAAGACATTTTAAATAAATAGTTTATTCAAAATAGCTTTTCTGTACCTTATTCACAGTTTCGAGTTTAAAATGAAAAAGGGGTAGTACCTATTTTTGATCAACTGTCATATAAAGACAAAGAAAAGTGAATCCCCTCAGAACATGCATTAAATACAGAGAATTGCACAATGGCTCATCTTTGAAAAATCCTTCAATGAAGTATGAAAAAGGGAACACTCTTTTTTTGGGTGCAATTTAGGAAGAAAAATTGTAGATGTTCTTTAGCCCATTGGAACCTGTAAAATCATTTGGATAAAAAGCTCTCTTGACCAAAGTAACTTTTTATCCAAAATAATTTTATCTTAAATCATTCTATTATAGCTTAATATACTTCAAAAATACTTAAAAAGTATAATTGCATCACAGCAAGTCTATTAATAATGAGGTACCATATACTTCTCAAAGAAATAAACGCTGGAAGCTTTAAGATTGATTCTGATGTTAGCACTTCAAATGAAGAGGCCAAAAAACAACCATAATGTGTCTGCTATGGGAAATAAGTCTGTGTTCCACTGTTGTACTTGTTTTAAATGGATTATTTCCCTCATATTTAATGAAACAAAGCACCGAAAGGACAGACCGGCTCCCGTGTTCAGAAGGCACTGACAACGTGTCCGTGGTGGCACCTCTGCAGGAGAATCACTGTACAGTGCCGCTGCTTGCTCCACTGCCAGCGCCAGCAAGCTGGTCTAGCAGGTGGATGATAAAGTTGATTCTTTCCAGAAGAGTTGCATTTTTGTTTGCTGTAGCTCTCAAAAGCTGGGAGTAAATCTGCTTGTTGGTTTTGAGGACTACATCTTCTTCAACGTTACTGCTGAGGTAAAACAAATTAAAATATTAAAAAAAAAAAAAGACAGGTGAAGGGAACAGTGATACCCACCAACAGTTCAATGAGAAATCCTACAAAATGAATAGTAACAGCCCAGCAGAAACTTTTCACAGAGAAGTAGATATTCCACTAATACCTATTCCATACTTACATCCTTCCATTAATTGCTTATGGGCCCGCTTTTACACATTTCATACATCAATTAAAATCACTGTTCATTCCTTTTATAAATATTTGAGTGCCTGCTCTGTATTAGGAACTGTTCTTAAAAGTTTAAGAATCAAAAAACCCTGGGACCAACAGTTAGCATAATGGCTATGTCACTGGACTCCCGTGTAGTTGACCGTGGTTTGTGTCCTGGACCCGGTGGCTTAAAACTCATGCCGGGCGCATATGTGTGCGTGCCCAAGATCACGAGAGGAGAAGGGAGTGCGGTGTGGCCATCCCCCCTGGGGGGTGATTTCTTGCTTTCTGTCTGGCTCTGTCTGTCTGGCGAGCGCACACGCCCTATAGCAAAAACCTTTCCAAAAAAAAAAAAAAAATTAAAAAACCCTGCTTTCATAGAATTCATATTCTGTTGAGGTGGCGGCGGGGGGGGGGTTTGTACTGGGGAAGACGTACAGTAAACAAGAAATAGTGTCAAGACTGTACATACCATGAAGAAAATACAGTGGAGATGGGCAGGGGAAAGCTACATGGCACTTCCCCTATTTTTTAAGCTTGGACGCAGACCCTTAAACACTGTTAACAAGCACACATCTAACACAACTGCTGGGTTGCTAGCTCTAAAACTATTAGAATCATCTAGGACTTTAAGCGCAGGTTCCTGACACAGGATTGGCTACTCCTCAAGTTACTCTAAAAATGTCAGTGCAATTTTTGTGTGAAGAAAGCCTCTCAGCTGTACAATATAGTACTCCATATTAGAAATGTTTACGTTTACAGTTGGTTCTAAAAATATTTACCCCTTATGATCTATGTATTATATTTACTAGAACTGTCTAGCAATCAAATGGCAGTTCATTTCTAGCATCTTTTTTTTTTTTAAATGAGTCCAGATTTAACACAGACCCTTGGCTCATATAAACTACATAACAGCAGACAATCATACAACTCTTTACAGTGGACGTGACCACATCTGAAACTCCTAATAACCCCTGCCTTACACTGGCAAGGACTCATATTCTTATGTCACGGATGTAAAAGCTAAGGATAGATGGCTAATAACATGAACCAACATCAAAATATTGTTTTCCCATTCCATACACTATGTTCTTTTCTCCACTGTGCAGGCTCTTCCTTTGCCCAAG